CAGTCAGTAGGACCCAGGCCTGCCTCCCCGACCCCATTCTAGGGCCCTGTGCACTGACTCATGCCAGAAGCTACAAAACTGCTCCTGAAATCCTCATGTGGGGGCCCTCTGGGCCTTCCTTCCCTCCAGGGCAGAAGAAACTGGAGTCACTGGTGCCAAGGACCCCAGGACCCTCCGACGGTGCCTCTCTGACTTAGCTACAACAGTGTGCCATCAGACAGTGTCGCCAGCTGAAACAGTCTTTTCTGTAGATGCGTGGTCTTTATTCTTGCCCAATGTTTCTCAACCTTGGGGTCCATCAGGGAGCTCTTAAAAAAGACCAGCACCCAGGCCTACTCCAGAGGGACAGAATCAAAATCTCTGAGGGTGGTGGATGATGGGAAGATGGAAAAGATACTTCAAGAACAGAATTCATGGCCTCTCTACTTTTGGAGAAAACATGCTCTCAAAGTACCCGAACCACACCAAATAGATATAGCGGGAATTGGGGTGGGTTCATAAAACTTACTTAACATGGCCGGCGCCGCAGCTCACTAGGCTAATCCTCTGCCTTCGGTGTCAGCACACCGGGTTCTAGTCCCGGGTGGGGCGCCGGATTCTGTCCCGGTTGCTCCTCTTCCAGTCCAGCTCTCTGCTGTGGCCCGGGAGTGCAGTGGAGGATGGCCCAGTGCTTGGGCCCTGTACCCCATGGGAGACCAGGAGAAGTACCTGGCTCGGATCCTGGCTTCGGATCAGCGCAGTGCGCCGGCTGCAGCACACCAGCTGCAGTGGCCATTGGGGGGTGAACCAACAGAAAAGGAAGACCTTTCTCTCTGTCTCTCTCACTATCCACTCTGCCTGTCAAATGAAAACAAAAAAAGAAAAAAGGAACTTACTTAGCAATCATCTTGTTAAAACCACCATGTTTAGGATCCACTAAAAATGCTGCACCATAATTAAGATTATATGAAGGGGCCGGCGCCGCGGCTCACTAGGCTAATCCTCCGCCTAGCGGCGCCGGCACACCAGGTTCTAGTCCCGGTTGGGGCGCCGGATTCTGTCCCGGTTGCCCCTCTTCCAGGCCAGCTCTCTGCTGTGGCCAGGGAGTGCAGTGGAGGATGGCCCAGGTGCTTGGGCCCTGCACCCCATGGGAGACCAGGAAAAGCACCTGGCTCCTGGCTCCTGCCATCAGATCAGCGCGGTGCGCCGGCCGCAGCGCGCCGGCCGCGGCGGCCATTGGAGGGTGAACCAACGGCAAAGGAAGACCTTTCTCTCTGTCTCTCTCTCTCTCACTGTCCACTCTGCCTGTCAAAAAAAAAAAAAAAAAAAAAAGATTATATGAAGGTAACTCAGAAAGTTCATGGCAAACGTGCATTATGAAAAAGCTATGAATAGCTTTCAAAATCATTTGCACCAAAATAAGCTTATATATAATTTACAAATGTGGCAATTGCTCATTATTAGTAAATTTACTTTTTATTTACTTGAAAATCAGAGAGAGAGAGAGATCATCCATCCACTGATTTACTCCCCAAATGCCTGCAACAACCAGACCTGGGCCAGGCCAAAGCCAGAAGCCAGGAACTCCAATTGCTTCTCCCACATGAGTGACAGGAACCCAACTACTCAAGTCACTACCTGCTGCCTTCCAGGACGCACATTAGCAGGAAGCTGGAATCACAAGCAGAGCTGGGATTCAAACCCACACATTCTGACGTGGGAAGTGAACATCCCAAGTTGTGTTTTAACTGCTGCACCAAACCCTGCTCCTTTATCTTTTAATTCCATTTCTTCTATGAACTTTTTGAAGTATCTTTATATACTTAAAAATCACTGAGCGGGCCTGGCACTGTGGCGTAGTGGGTTAAGCCACCACCTGCGACACTGGCATGCCATATGGGCGCCAGTTTGATTCCTGGCTGCTCCACTTCCAATCTAGCCCCCTGCTAATGTGCCTGGGAAAGCAGCAGAAGATGACCCAAATGTTTGAGCCCCTGCACCCATGTGGGAGACCCAGACGAAGCTCCTGGCTCCTGGCTTTGATCTGGCCCAGCCATGGCTGCTGTGACCACCTGGCAAGTGGACTAGTGGATGGAAGATATTCTCTCTCTCTCTCTCTCTCTCTCTCTCTCTCTCTCTCTTTCTTCCCATCTCTCCATAATTCTGCATTTCTAATAAAATTTTTTAAAAAATCACTGACAGCAGACTTAAGTGTTTCCATCACACACACACAAAAAAAAGTATGTGAGGCGATACATGTTAATTGGCTTAATTCAGCCATTACCCAGAGTACATATGCTTTAAACCATTCGGTTTTACATGATAAATATACACCTTTTTATTTATCAATTAAAACCTTTAAAAACACTGGGAGATACACAACCCGGTCTCATGTAGGAGGGAGCACTCGGACTTAGCAAACTGGAGAAAAACAGCAGAGAGCGAAAGGGATGTTCGGCGGCTGTTACCTGAAGCACATGGCCACGTGGAAGCAGATCCTACAAGATCACCAGTGAACTCTGCAGAGACCCCTGCTGGATACCAAAGATGACCTCTTTAAAATAACTTGGTCCCCAAGTTTAATCTTAAAAACAAAGCTAGGGACGAAAAAGCCAAGACACCTGATGCTAAAGCAGACGAAGAAGAGGACTGGTTCACGTGCTTGATCTATCACCAGCCTGACCTGGTCACAAAAGGACCACGTCAGCAGCTCACTAGGCTAATCCTCAGCCTACCAGCGCCGGCACACCGGGTTCTAGTCCCGGTCGGGGTGCCGGATCCTGTCCCTGTTGCCCCTCTTCCAGGCCAGCTCTCTGCTGTGGCCAGGGAGTGCAGTGGAGGATGGCCCAGGTGCTTGAGCCCTGCACCCCATGGGAGACCAAGAGAAGCACCTGGCTCCTGCCATCAGATCAGCGCGGTGCGCCGGCCGCAGCGCGCCGGCCGCGGCAGCCATTGGAGGGTGAACCAACAGCAAAGGAAGACCTTTCTCTCTGTCTCTCTCTCACTGTCCACTCTGCCTGTCAAAAAAAAAAAAAAAAAAAGGGACCACGTCAAAACACTGGCAAGGATGAAGGATGGAGATGTTAGACAGGAGGGTTTAGAAGCAAATCGTCTTTGGCATAAACTCTTCCTGGCCAAAAAAAAGTTGCTTTTAATAAAAAGTTGAAGTCAGAAGCGACAGTTTTCACGAAAGTCAACACTGGCAATGAAATCCAAAGGTCCACTGGGTTTGGTCATCAGCTTCTGGCACAAGCTCTGTCTGGACCTGAGAGAGTGATGGAATGCGTCCACCGCACTCTCACGGGAGCAGACTGCTGGCTTAGCTGTTCTTGTGTCAGTCCCCACCTTGCCTTACCTTGGAGGAACTCTGGCCTCTGCAGTGCCGACATCCGGGGGACATCATCCTAGGAACTGCAAGGAGCAGCACTGGAACAGCCTTGGGAGTGCGAACCTCACCTGCTTTGCATAAATTGCTTTAACAAGTCTCTGAGAAGCGGGAGTGTAAGCTTTGGGAAACAATCACTTGAAAGGTGTTAATTCCGGGAGCCAGTTAAAATATAATCGTGAATTAGAACGGTACACTAAAGGTAAGAACGATCACTTGGGTGATAGATCGTGTGACGGTGTGGACTTGACTTCAGGGTCCCCGCCAAGGGTTCATGCGTTGAAATGTAATCCCTAGCAAGGGGTATTAGCGAGTAGGAGCAGGACCCACCACGGTGCTCAGTAGTGGGGGCCTCTGGGAGGTGATCAGGATTAGCCAAGATCCTCATCGTGCAGCCACCATGACTCACCTTGGTGGCTCTGTGAGAAGAGGGAGAGACCAGGAGGGACACACACAGGCACACTCCCTGTCTCCTGCCACACGAGGCTCTGTGCTGTCCCCCGACTCTGCCAGCCACGGGCCCAGTGAGCGAGCACATCTCTCTGCTCCACAGCACCGCCCAGTCTGCAGTGTTTTGTCCTAAGGAATGCCGCAGCGACGAACCCCAGCACAAGGGGAACTGACAAAGCTCTGCCCTTCTGCAGATGGCTCCTAGTCGGTGGGCACAGTTCTCAATTTGCTGCACAAACTTCACATCCCTTCTCTTCGTCCTGTACCTACCCCTTTAGGTAACAATTTTTAAAAAATGGGGTTGACATATGTCAGAGCAAAGCCTTCTGAGCTTGTTATGTTTTTTAACATTTAAGGTAAAAATGGATGACTGAGGCAATTATATTTCCACTACTGGTAAAAAAGAAAAGATGCCTTGCACATTATATGAAAACAAATCTCACAAAACTGCTGAAGTGCCTACTTCTACACCCCTAACTCCACTTGTTGAAGTCGACTTTTTCCCAAGAAACTCACTGAGGAATGTTTTTTCAACACAAGCTAAACTGAACCAAAAATAATACTTCCCTAACCAAGTATGCTCATTAAAAATGTACAGCAGGATTCCATGCATTTACGGGATGTATGTTAAGCCGATGGGTACAATTACACCCAGTGTGCCATTTTTAGCCCTGGCTAAGTAAACAACAAAAAGGACAGGGTTTTCTTTTTTCTTTTTTTTCTTTTTGGAAATGGTTGGTGGGTTGGCATGGGCAAGTTTATTCGGTTAGACACATTTCTTCAGTTGTTTATTTGCAACAGTGACTAAACTGGCAATACTTGGTGGGTTTTTGCAAGGCCTGCCTCTGTCGGCATCACTGCACAGGTAGCACCCAGCACCCCGCCTTTCTGCCCGGGATGTACACTCCCTCTCTTCGCGCTCCATCCACGCGAGGAAACCCCAAAAGACCGTTCCTGGCTACAATTAGCTCTGCCTGTCATAATTGCCCTTCATGCTCCAAAACTTCACCGATTTGCACATTGTTTATTTTTTGTAGGTGGGACCTTAAAAGGCATGCAAACAGAACTCTTCTGCATGTCCAGTGAGAATGCACCTCCCCTCAGGGCCGTCTGACCAACGCTGGGGTTTTCACTTGGTTTTTCCAAGGTGTTCTGTTTAGAAATGCGCTTGTAATAAAAACTGACGAGACGCGTGACAAAAATAAGGATTATAATATTAAAATAAATCAAATGATATACAGTACTGTCATAATTCTGATACAGAATTTTAACACAGCAGTTATTGATACAGGTACAAATGGCGGGATGTCAGGCAATCCATTACAATAGACCTTTGGGTTAGAAATAAAGTGTACAACACAACTTAATACCAATGTAAAAAAAAATCGGGAACTAGTGTCATGCCAGATTAAAATCAATACTTCCTCTTCAAGTGACATTTTTTTAGAACATTTTTAGCTAGGAGATCAAAGAAATAATAAACTTAAGGAAAAAAATGTAATAGGCATTGAAAAAGAAGTCATCTATTTAAAAAAAACCCTCACCTAGAAATCTGGACTAAGTTAATTTGGTTTCCCATTCCTACTGTCCTCACACCAAACAGCAGAGCTGAAGGCCATGTGGACAGACAGGTGAAGGAATGTTCCAGAGACACTCCCAAGGCCCACCACATAAGACGACTCTGGCCAGCCCCAGCTGACCACGCATGCGTCACTGCTCAGGGACCAGACAAAAAGCTCGCTTCTCTCAGCGATGCTGCCAGTGAGACAGGGCTACATTTCACAGGGCCAGAGGGGTGGGAAGGGAGACGGAGAGGGACAGTAAGGGCTCACAACCCTCTGAGGAGGGTTCAGGAGACCCAGAGGGGGCGTTCAGTGCTCTGGGGCAGGGGTGAGGTGGAAGGGCCACGAAAGAACCCTGCTGCAACAAAACATCACATTCTTCCTCGTCTCCTGTTGGTGGAAATGGGCACGCTACCAGCATCGAAAGCAGCCCGATTAAGCCAAAATACAAACCACTTGCATAATGCCTTGTACTTTCTGTTTCTATCCAGAATTAAAATTCCCTTCCAATGGAAAAAAATATCAGAAATCCAAGACGAAGGAAGATGTGGCTTGGACAGAGGAGGAAGCACGAGCATCTCTTTCTGGCACAGTATCTGTTTTGGCACGATCACAAGAAACACTTTACACATACCATGTGGCTGTTCACATTCAAAGTTTCTACTCTAAATGATTACTTTCGGGCTAAGCAAATGTATCGGTTGAACGAAGTCCGTAAACAGGCCAAGCCCGGCAGACATGGGCAAGTGTGGTGCATCCGCCGCCCAAAAAATGGTACCTGAAAGACAAGAAGAAGACAGACGCTGAGTCAGGGCAGGAAACGTTTCCAAAACCAAGCAGACCTTTCTCGAGATCCGTCTGTGAAGAGTGATGGCTGGTGCTCCCTGTTGTCCCTTCCCATTGCTACTCACTTTCTGGGTTGATACTGTAATCGCACCCATTCTACAGATGGGAGTCTGAGCAAACAGAGCAAGTCACACATGGAGAACCTGAAGCTTGGCTGAACCAGTGGGACCACACTCCTTTGCCGCCTTTTTCTTCTTCTTGGATTTCTTTTTTGGGGGTGCCTTGTTACTGAAGCACCTCAGGAAGAGCCCAGGATCATGGCCACATCCACAGCTATTCAATGAGCACATGTAAATTCTGACTTGAGAAATACTTGCATGTTGAGGTGGATTCGTTCTGAGAGGAGGAGCGTGGTGGGGGCAAGAGACATGGAGTCACCACACAGACCCAGGGAGTCAGGTGAAAGCAGGCCTCAGGAGAGCAGCCTGCAGACTCATTTATTTCAGTTGCTACAGCAGCTTATATAGCCAAGGCAGCCAATCCGGTGAAGGGGTGGTCTATGCCCTAACCAATCACACCCTGTTGCCAGGCAGTTTCCAAAACCATCCAACCACAACCTGTTGTCAGTCAGGCTCTGTTGTCATGTGGTTTCTGAAACCATCCAATCACAGCCTGTTGCCTGGTAGTTTCTGTTGCCAGCGGCCATCTTGGCATGGCCTTCTCATTCTACCACACTTGCATAAATTCACACATGTGCGCACAGATGCCAGCAGTCAAAATGCTGGGGAAAAGCTTGAAGAGCCACAGAGGAAAAACAGGGAAGGAGGCAAACTCAACTTATACAAATGAGACAGGGGCCAGTGCGGTGGCATAGTAGGTCAGGCATCTGCCTGAGGCGCTGTCATCCCATATGGGAGCTGGTTGAATCCTGGCTGCTCCAGTTCCATCCAGCTCAGTTGCTGTGGCCTGGGAAAGCAGTACAAGATGGCCCAAGTGCTTGAGCCCCTGCACCTACGTGGGAAACCTGGAAGAAGCTCCTGGCTTCGGACTGGCCCAGCTCTGGCCGTTGCAACCATTTGGGGAATGAACCAACAGATAGAAGACCTCTCTTCGTCTGCCTCTCAAGTGAATAACTAAATCTTTTATAAGAAAATTAGATGAACCTGATCCCGCTGGCCTGGGGGTACCCAGCAGCGCAAGGCCAGCTTCCCTCTGAGCCACTCTAAGATCGTAGCACGTGTGCCCAGGAAGCTGGGGTGAGGGGCATCAGCCAGTGACAGCGTGGTGATTCTCTGCACCAGTGGCAAGTAAAGCACATGCAAAACAAACATGAGTCTCTCACCACCTGGAACAGTGCCTTCTTGAGAAGCTGCCTGTCCTAGACGTTCCCTGGAGACAGCTGCACCTAGGCCTGGGGCCACACTACAGCCAGGTGGTCGGGATGGCTCTGAGTCAGGGCACTGTGAGAGAGGCAAGCTGGTACAGACTCGTGCCTAGGAGACCCTTCTACATGTGTTCTTCCTGCCTCCCAGCTCTGATGCCTCGCTGTGTACCACTCCAGTGTGTTCCCTACCCTGGTCTGCCAAGAGAGGCCTCCCCACACCAGGGTTCTGGGGTGTGACGCCCCGATGCCTTCCACACTGGTGTCTCCAGGCAGTAAGGCAGGCCCTATGCAGACAGCGGAAGAACCATTCTGGCCTTACTTTTGGGGTGAACCTGACAGCACAGGTGCGGCTCTATGATGGCCTCACAACGTAAAGGCTGTGTTTGGGCCTTTTGGCGGTACTGTGTTCATAGTCTTCTTACCTCCTTTTGCTTTTTCTCCACTTCCTCTCTCTTCTCTCCTGCCTGCCATTTCTAAGATGGCTCTGGAAGGGCCAGGGAGATGATGGAGATCAATACAGGCAAAGGGAACAAAGAGAGGCAGTGGCAGGGCAGGGTATGTGTGTGGTGAACGGGCAGAGCGGGACATACCCAAGCCAGCCCAGTTTCCTCTGTCCTTCCCATACATCACTGGGGGTCATTGCTTTCGAGGTTCCAACAACGGTCTACACAGTGGCTCGGTGGCCGCTGGCCAAATGTAGACTTGTGTTCAGAATGGTTCTGTCGCTGTGCGAGTCCCAGGGTGCCGTGCTGGCTGCCTCATTCATAGCCAACAAGATTCCACCAGAGGAGGTGGGTGCAGCCGGATCAGCTTAGATAATTACAAGCAGACAGGATGTGAAGCGATCATCAATGACCTTTATAATCCATTCTGACCTTGGGACTTGGAGAGTTCCTTGTTCCCCAAGCCTAAACATTTGTTTGCATGGGTCAGTGGGTTTCAGCAATGGGTGACTCTGTCCCCAGGGGACACAGGGCACTCTCCAGAGACATTTCTGTTTGCCATAACTGGGGGAGAGGGTTGTTATTAGCATCTTGTGGGTAGAGGCCAGGGATGTTGCTAGACATACAACCAAGAATGATCTGGCCCAAACTGCTGAGGCTGAGAAAACTGACTACAGGCACCAACATCCAAGGAACACGAGCCCAGAGGGACAGAAGAAGGCTGATAATGAGCATCGTCTCAAACTGTCATAAACGGATTCCTCTCATCCACCTGTTTGGCAGATACTCACCAAGTGCCACCGATGTATCAGCCCCTGTTCTAGGTTCCAAGCACACGGCAATGAGCCAGATGGGAAAGGCCCCTCCCCAGCACAGAGCTTACATTTTAATGATAAAAGAACAAACAGGCTGTAAGCCCTAAGAAAGCCACAGGAAAGAAAGACACCCCCTGGGTCAGGTCTCAGAAGACATCGTCTATAGCCCAGAGTCAGATTTCTGCTGTGTCGTGAGACCTGCTCAGTGGCTTCCTTCTGAAGTAAAGGGAGGTGACCGACTGGAGCCACCCAGCCAGAAAGGGAAAGTGCTCGGAGTCAGATAGTCAGATGTAGCTCCGTCTTCCCCCAGAGGTGGGAGGAAGGGGAACCAGGTCCAGTTGATGAGCTTGTAGCCCCTGGCCTGCTACAGAGAAGCCATCAAGGAAATACCTGTCAATATCTCCTCTACCCTCTCCCACCCCCTGCATGGACCAGGAATCCCCTTCCCTCATGGTCAGTGGGTGGCCGTCCCAGACCCCACCCAGGCCTGGCACTGAGCAGACCCAATGTGATTCACGCCACCAAACTCAAGAGGTGGATTTTTTTTTTGTTTGTTTGGACAGGCAGAGTTAGACAGTGAGAGAGAGCCAGAGAGAAAGGTCTTCCTTCCATTGGTTCACCCCTCAAATGGCTGCATGGCCGGCGCGCTGTGCCAATCTGAAGCCAGGAGCCAGGTGCTTCCTCCTGGTCCATCCTCCGCTGCCCTCCTGGGCCACAGCAGAGCTGGACTGGAAGAGGGGCAACCGGGACAGAACTGACACCCCCACCAGGACTAGAACCCGGGGTGCCGGCGCCACAGGCGGAGGATTAGTCTAGTGAGTGGCTGCGCCGGCCAAAAAGATGGATTTGTTACAAAGCCCCTCATTTGCATGGATCCTTGGAGGGCCTAGGAGGGGTCCTGGTGGCATGTTCACAAGATCGTAAGTTTTTGCAAAACTTTCACAAAAAAATTGCTTGTATTCTTTTTCGTATCAAGGGCACCAAGACTATCTTAGCATCATCTGGGTCTCCTGGGACTGGCTTTTAAGATTTCATTTATTTGAGGGGCCAGTGCTGTGGTGTAAGTGGGTAAAGCCACTGCCTGCAGTGCGGGCATTCCATATGGGCACCAGGTCGAATCTCAGCTACTCCACTTCCAATCCAGCTCTCTGCTATGGCCTGGGAAAGCAGTAGAAGATGGTCCAAGTCCTTGGGCCCCCTGTACCTGCATGGGAGACCAGGAAGAAGCTCCTGGCTCCTGGCTTTGGATTAGCACAGCTCTGGCTGCTGCAGCCAACTGGGAAGTGAACTAACGGAGGGATGACCTTTCTCTTTCTCTGCCTCTGCCTCTCTGTAATTCTGTATTTCTTTATTTATTTGAAAGGCAGAACAACAGAAAGGGAGGGAAAGACAGAAGAAGAGAGAGAAACCTTCCATCCACTGCTTTGTTCCCCAAATGGCCTCAATGGTTGGGGCTGGGCCAAGCTGAAGTCAGGAGCCTGGAACTCCTTCCAGGTCTCCCACATGGGTGGCAGGAGCCCAAGTCTTGGGTGCATCTTCTGCTGCCTTCCCAGGGGTGTTAGCAGGCAGCTGGATCAGAAGTGAAGCAGCTGGGACTTGAACCAGCGCTCCAACAGGGGATGCAGGCTTTGCAAGCAGTGGCTTAACCCGATGCATCATAACACCTGCCCCACCGGGACTGACCTTAACATAAGGACAGAGGGCACCGAGCGTCCCTCTGCACCCATGGATGCCCCTTTCTCATTCAAACTTCCCTTTTTAAGATCCAGTGTGTGTTACTCCCTCCCTTCCCACGGCCTCTCTTAACTCCACCAGCTGGGGGCAGTCTGTCTCCTTGCCACACATCTTTGAGCGCCTGGTGACAAAGGCCAGCTTCCCAAGTTACACAGGCCCAGCATGCTGGCCAATTTCTTGCCTGACCATCACACTCATTTCAAGGTCAACACACATCACGTGACGAAGCTCACGGGTCTGTCATAGTCACAACTGGGAGAAAAACCTTTACAGAAGACTGATATTCAAACCATTCAGTCCAAATTCGATTTTTTTACTTTAGCATTGACTAAACACCCTGTCCAAAGTTTCTAATGGCCTGGAATTCCAACCAGCAAAGTCTAGAAGTTACCACGGCAGAACACCAAGCACTTCTGAGAAAGCACGGTTCTTCCTCATTTGCAGTGGTTTTCAAAAAGAAAATAGCACTCATCAAAGACAAGGTGAGGCGGGATCTTTGGCATGGTGCAACTGTGTGGTCCCTTGACTGTTTCAATGTCAGTATCCTGCCTGTGATACTGGATTATAGTTCTATAAAAAATTCCCGTTGGGAGAAACTGGGTAAGGTGTACAGGTTGCCAAGGCTGGGAAAATCCGTATTAGACTAAAACATACTTATGTCTCTCTGCTGATCTGAACCTGTAACCACAGCTATGATACTACCTTGGGAGGTCACTATCATCAGTGGCTCCTGACATCTCAGATGGGAAAGATGGGGAAATTAGCATCTTACCCTCTTCTACCCAACTTGCACTGAATTTTTGAGTTACATTACTTCTTTTATTATTTTTTAAAGATTTATTGAAAGGCAAAGATACAGACAGAGAAAGTGATCTTTCATCTGCTGGTTCACTCCCCAGAAGGCTGCAACAGCCAGGCTAGGCCAGGCTGAAACCAGGATCCTGGAACTCCATCCAGGTCTCCCATGTGGCAGGAGCCCAAATACTTGGTCCATCTTCTGCTGCTTTCCCAGATGCATTTTTTTTTTTTTTTTTTTTTTTTTAAGTAGGAAGCTGGATTGGAAGTAAAGTAGCTGGAACTTGAACTGGGATCATATTGGGTGCTGGTGTCAACAGTGGCAGATTAATCTACTGTGCCAAAATTATTTCTATTTTAATTAATACGCAACAAATTTAAAAAACTAATTTTCAAAAATTTTACTAATTTTACATTCTGAAATTATACTTAAACAATGTTTTATCATAGGTTGGTTCTGAAATGTAAACAAGTTAGTATTTTTTAAAATCTTTTTTTTAAACAAACGAGACTCATGTTTTTATTTGAAACTTTTTCCTTTGCAAAAGGAAAACCTATTAGTCAATTTTTAAAATGAAGTTGAAAGGAAGAGAAAAGAGAAGAGAAGATGCCAGCACTGTGGTGTAGCGTACGTTAAGCCACTACCTGTGGCTTCAATGGCATCCATATTGGAATGCTGGCTACTCTGCTTCCAATCCAGCTCCCTGCACCTGCAGGAAGTGGGTGATGGTACAAGCGCCTGGGCCCCTGCCATCCACATATAAGGTCTGGATGGAATTCCTGGCTCCTGGATTCATGCTTTGGCTATCTGAGGGGTAAAGCAGCAGAGAGAAGATCTCGCTCTCTCACTCTCTTGCCTTTCTGCCTGTTGTTCTGCCTTTCAAATAAATAAATAAATACATCTTCATATTAAAGACAAGAGAAAATGAATGCCACACATGTTTACATAAAAATGGAGCAAAATTAAAAAACAAGATTGGCAGAAAAGCAACTGTTTAAATTCATAAAATTCACAAAATAATCAACAAATTAACAAAACAATGAATAATCATTTAATTAAGAACAAGACTAAAGTATTAACTTTTCATTAATATTAAAGTGTTAATCTCATAATTATACACTTCCAAAATAAACATTAATCAAAATTGAACTGACAATCTATATAGACTTTGAAAAGTGTATTATTATTATTAATACAATTATCAAATTTTTTAAACAGGAAGAATTTCCTGTAGGCATGACTCAGTAAATCATTCTTAACTGTTAAAAGTTAAGAACCTGGGGGCTGGTGCTGTGGCGTGGTTGGTTAAGCCACCATCTGCAGTGCTGGCGTCCCATATGGGCGCCAGTTTAAGACCCGGCTGCTCCACTTCCAATCCATCTCTCTACTGTGTCCTGGGAAAGCAGCAGAAGATGGCCCAAGTCCTTGGGTCCCTGCACCCACGTGGGAGACCCGAAGGAAGTTCCTGACTCCTGGCTTTGGATCAGCGCAGTTCCAGACATCTTGGCCAGTTGGGGAGTGAGTGAACCAGCGTGAGTGAACCTCTCTTTGCCTCTCCTCTCTGTGTAACTCTGACTTTCAAATAAATAAATAAATGTTTAAAAAAAGTGATCACCTATTAAAATTATTATTTGCTTTAAAATGTGCTAAGAATGTAAGACAGTCTCCAGAGGTGAATTATCAAGTATAAAAACTGCGCAATCATAAAATGACAGCCCACCTGTGACTGTAAACAGAAGAGTGAGCTACATTCCGTTCTCATCCACCCACCAGATACTCTTCACTTTACCCACATGAGAGACTTGGGTGGCCAATGACTCAGCCAAACAAAAACAGAAGACACTGTCCATTTAGTGTCTACATTGATGCCATCTCCTAACGAAACATGAGGCTTCAGCATCGAATGAAATGTTGTACAAAATGTTCATGAGGATCTACTGATGAAAAACTTTTCAGTTGTTTTGAAGGCATAGTTGAGAGATGGTCTGCAAGAAACTAGATTTTTTTTTCCCAGAATAGGTAAATTTCATCCAGAACAAGCAACAACTCTGGTGTCTACTCTTGAACATGTATTTTCAAGACAGAAAAATAACCAACATGAGAAGTCGTGAAACTGAGTTCTAGAAATACATTTCACAATTGGGCATCGGACTAGGAAGCTTAATGCAAAACCTTAGTTTTAGTACTTCCATTATTTTGTCAATTTTCCTATGAAAACCGTAGCCTGATAAAGATTTCCTTATTAAGTCCATGACAAAAACAAATACTGATATTTATATGCTCATAGAGATAAGATAAGTCCGATTAAGTTTACTTTCGCAACTGACAGTTGCACTAAACCTGAACTTGAAGTCGCCTGGGAACTGGGGAAACCACAGATTGTGGTTTTCTTTTCATCATCTCAGCTTCGGAAAAACTCATCAAAAACGATCAGACGGTGCCCACTCCCACTCTAGGCTGCCATCGCTCACCCCAGCGAACATCCTGCCTCTGCTACCCAGACACACCAGCTTTGGTCCCACTGACCACCTCGACTATTTTCCTGTGGATAGAGACTTTGCTCTGAAGACCACACAGGTGATGGGTGTCAGAAGAGAGAAGCTCCACGTTCGCCCTCTCCACCTGCAGCCTGTGTGACCTCAGCTGGTTACCCAACTGTGGGACGCTACACAGGCTTGTTGTCCTGAGAAGCAGGAAAACCACGTGTGGCTTAGTACAGGGGATTGGCGAGAGGGGAGCATTTAACAAGGAGCCACTGCTATCAAAATAAAAACAGGTCTACAGAATGTGTCCCTTTTCACGTGCTGTTTAGCAAACGGTCTCTGGCCTCTGGGATTCTAGCATCTCAAGTGCATAAAGGCGTGCTGGCACTGTAAGACCCACAGCATTTTTAAAGGAGAAGGCCAAGTGCAAGCTTTTCTGAGACAATGACTTACATGCACAAAAGACGACCCACATCCAATAACAGTGAGGAATGAAACAGGGGCCCCTGCCAAAGGTGGCTTCCCCTCCCTGCAGGTAGCTGGGCATTGAGACAGGACATGAATGGTTTAGCGGCCCTTCTGTCTCAAGGTAGCAAAGAGTCGATGGTGCATACCATGTTCACAAAGGATGGTCTGGTCTTGTGTGGCCAGACCACGGGGAGGGATGGTTGAAACGGGAAGCACTTCACAAGGTGGTCACAGGAAAACCAGAGGCAAACTTGGCCTCCAGACAAGGTCCAGATGACAGGAACCTGCAGCCCGGCTCACGGAGCTGACCCTCGGCCAGCGGCCCTGCGTGCCTCTCACTTACATTCACTCCACAAAGTTCAAAATCATCAATGTCCTCAGGGATCGTGGACTCCAGGAAAAGTGATTGGCTCTGTTACTGTTTTCAGCCCCAAATCGCATGTGACGAAATAAGCTACAAGACGGAATTCTGTTGGCCTTGAAAATATTCCACCTGTTACAAAGAGGGAGTCCACGGCGTGCGGAGAGAACATCACGGAGAGACCGAGTTCTGCCTCTGACTGGCTGTGTGGCCTTGGAGTCGTCTCAGTGCCTCTGCACTGCAGTGAGGAGGTGGGGCCAGGGGGAGGCACCGCAGCCCAGCCTCTCCGGGCATCGGTGGAGACTGTGGAGTGCTCAGAAGTCTGCAGTCTGAAGGGCTCTTTTGGCTCACAGTGGCCAGCCAGCCACCCCTTCCTGCCGTGATGGGAACCTGCCTGACCCCTGAGGACAGGCAAGCCTGCAACCCCTGGGGACACGACCTCCAGGGCCCCAGCCAACCCTGCTGCCCCACTGCCAGTCATGCCTCTGTCAATAACCTTTCCAAAGTATTGTTTGGGTCCTTGCGATATTGAGCTGCCAGATAATAAAGTTAAGCTGGAAAACAGAGGATCATTCATGTCTGAAAGTGTGAACAATGTATCCTTGTAGCTACCTAGTCAAAACCAGAACCTTTAAGATTATAGGAGCAATTATATGAAAACACACACACACACACACACACACACACACACACCCCAATACTTATTTACTTCTGCCTTACTGGCAGGTCTAATACTAAAAATCTTTTCAAGAATCATCACCCTCTGACTTCTGCAAAGATGCCTAGTCTATTATACTCTATATACTATGTACTCTAGTATAATCTGTACTTTTGTCCTGAATGATTTTTAAAGCAAGGTCATGTGTTAGAAATTATTTTGGTAAAATGTTTCTGAGGCAGTGACAAGCAATGATGACTATCAAGGATGGCAGAGGACACGATTATGGTTTTCCATTGTTATCTTCTCTTACTTCCAACTCCAAGCCCATGGCACCAGCCTTGGGAGTTAAGTTGCTGCAATATCAGAGAGCCCCCTTGAACGCGCATGTGTATATGCTTACTTTACGAGTCAGCGGATGGCAGCTGTCTCCCACTTTGCCCATAGGTGTGCAGATCCTTATGCTCTTAACCCAGATGCTAACAGCACAGCACATGCCTCCACCACACTGGGGGTCCTTATCGCAGGCCTGAAATGTAATAAAAAGACAGCTGTGGCGAGAAAGACTCCGGCTAAGGAAATCTAAAATTAGCAGTGAAAATGCTCTTACAATATCCAAACACTATGGTTTTAATAATCACACATACATTGTTTTAAGTCCTGTAATCTTCACTTGTTCACACATTTGTACAATAAAAGCTGATCAGAACAGACTTCTAGTTTCTCAAAAACGGACTTAATAATAGCATCCCAACTATGAACATCTTAAATACATGAGATTTTTTTTTAAAGCTGTCTTTTTCTAGTGCCTTTTTTTTTTTAAATGGCTGAGTTGGCTTTGAACTTGAAGAGTGAGTCTCTATTATACACTAAGCATGATCATTAGAAACCATGTAAGTTGAATCCCAAGATTTTTATGACTATTAACTGCATACATTGGGCCCAATCTTAGAGACTTAAATGGCCTCTAAATCTGAATGCTCCAGACCCATGAAGGCACTGCTGTGAACTTAGAAGCACTCGCTTTCTCTTTCCAATATTTGCATTTCAGTTCACGAGACTCAATGTTTCTCACACCACTGACTTGATTTTCATCAATTCCTCTTTGAAAAAAGAAAATAGAAATCTCACAGCTCGAGAATGGACAGACCAAGACTTCTGCCTCCTGTGACTCTTCTTCCAGGTGAATACTTTGCAAAAATGATTGGCTAAGGCTCTATGTCTGTGTCCATTACAACTATGTTAGGAGATGCATCAGATTAAGAAATGCAGATGACAGCTGCGATGATCTATAGTAGTTACACAAGCACCTGCTCCCCAAGTAAAAATTACAAATACATATCATCAAATAATCAGCTATGGGAGAATTTCCACATTCTACTGAGTAGAAATAAATAATGGAGTCCAAATTTATTTGCATGAAAATGGATCTAAAGAACTATTGTTCTTTCCTATGGACGTTTTGTTTGCACTGTGTTCAATAATCTGTTTGTGAAAAGGTAAAAACAACCCGTACTATATATCTAAGACTAAAATGTCTATAATTCAGGTACAAATTTAAATGTGCTCTTATTGAAGACAATTAAAACGGTAATTCAAAGTTATCCACTTCAGAGACAGGCATATCTCAAAACCTACATAAATGGGCACATTCTTAGCATGATTTTTCATTAAAAGTGACCAAGTAATTATCCTGTTTTGGAGTTTATTTACCAACCTCAGTTTTTTTTTTTCAGTCTATTTTTAAAGCAAACGTGTACATGGATAAAAACTATAATTTTCGGCCGGCGCCGCAGCTCACTAGGCTAATCCTCTGTCTGTGGCGCCGGTACCCCAGGTTCTAGTCCCGGTTGGAGCACAGGATTCTGTCCCGGTTGCCCCTCTTCCAGTCCAGCTCTCTGCTGTGGCCCGGGAGTGCAGTGGAGGATGGCCCAAGTGCTTGGGCCCTGCAGCCGCATGGGAGACCAGGAGGAAGCACCTGACTCCTGGCTTCGGATCGGCGTAGTGCACCAGCCGCAGCGCACCAACCATAGTGGCCATTTGTGGGGTGAATCAATGGAAAAAAGGAAGACCTTTCTCTCTGTCTCTCTCTCACTGTCTAACTCTGCCTGTCAAAAAATAAAATAAAATAAAAACAACTATAATTTTTACCTTTGGTGTTTGGATTTTATAGTACAATATCTGAACATTTCCATTTTTCCAACTTTTATCTGTATGCCAGAAATTGTGAACCATGTGACCAGTGCATTCCAAAAAGGGGGGGGGTCCAGCCAACGATCTTTTCCAATATGGTTTTAACAAATTTCAAAATACCTACATATATTACCAAAAAAGTCTCAGCCACTATCTTATTTCAACAGATGCTCAATACCCCAAATTCTGAAGCCTCACTGGCTCTTTTTGTAAGACAACCAAAAAGCTAGCCAAAATCTCTTACAATTCAATCAATCAGCGGGAGGTTTAACATTCTATATACCACGGATCTACATAAGTCACTGAGGTTTTCATTTGGATCCAGATGGTTTTTGTCAGGGAAACATAACTACATTTTATTGTCATATTGCTTTAGCGAACAAGACTTTTTTTTTTTTTTTTTGGTCACATTGAGTTACAGCAACAACAAAACAGCACACTTAACTACATAATAAGCACTGTCTAAACAGCTCTAAAAGTCAAACATGCTAAAAAAAATCTCATTTTTGTAACAAAAAGCTCCAGCTCTTGGAAAATTTACAAAGAATTGCACAGGTTTATGTATTTTTAATTAGATAACTGTTTCCTAATGCCCTTCAACCTTAACCCACTGTAGCTCTATTGAAATAGCTCCATCCTGGTCCTGTGAATGGAACAAAAAGATACTTTTATTGCAAAGGGATCTTAGGCTCCAAGGATTAGGAGAAATTTAAAATGAGCCAGCAGGGGAAGAGAGGAAAAAACTCAATCATGTTTCAATTCTCATGTATTAGAAAGACCCATAACAACTTTAAAAAACAAAAAACCATATGGACTATCTACTGACAAAGCTACCCACAAGTGTGTGTGTGTGTGCATATATATATGCTTTTTTAAAAAAAATCCCTATTCTAGTAAATACTATTAAGCTTTTAACTACGTATTAGACAAGGGCTTTCAAAAGGCTATCAACCAATTAACTGATAGACAACAGTTTGATTTTCTCAAGATAATGAACACTTCCTTTATAGTTAAAGGTTATTTCATTATCTACACATCACCGCTTCAAACACTGATATATTCCTTAAATCCTATAATGTGCATTTGTACCTTTTAAGTAATTTAATAAAGGTATAAAATAACTGCACTAAAACAGCAAGAAAAAAAAGAAAAGAGTAAGGCATTTGAACCAGGAAACGGCAGCGGTTTCGCACGATGGATGTACACGGACTAGACTTGCTCCGCTGTAAATTCATTCTTCTGACCCACACAAAGAAAACTCGTGGGAGCCGGAGAGCGCGGACCTGCTTCCTCCTCGCCAGGAGGAGGAAGCCGCCTGCTCCTGGCGCGCGCCGCAGCCGCACGGCGGCCCACTCCGTCGTTACGCGGCGGCAGTGAGGTGCTTCATCAGGAATCAGAAATGGAAAACTTTCACACACGGGAACCGCCAGGCGCCGGCGAAGGCGAGCGAAGAACGCCCTGGGGCTCAGGAGGACGCTCCCATGCCTGCTTCCCAAAGCGCGCACAGGGCCCTGGCCCAAGGGGTCTCTAAGGGCGCACCAGGGAGCAAAGGCCCTGGGTGCAGATTAACACCCCGGGGACTTGAAGTGCTCCCCCTTGCTCCTCCTTGGCATTTCTGGAATGGGTCGTCACGAATGCTAGGTTCCGAAAAGTCCTTGAGGGGCCTGAAAGAAACTTCTTCCAGGTTCACAGGAAAAAAAAAAAAGAAAGAAAGAAAGAAAGAAAAAAAAAAAAAACGGCCTCGACCGAAGGAGCCAGGCTAGGGGGGCAGAGGAGAGGAGAGCACGGGACAAGGCGATGGGTGGCACTACAATCACTTTTTCTTCCAGGGCGCACGCAGCGCCCCGGGCCGCCTGCGGACGCAAGTGCGCCGAAGGGCGGCTGAGGCAGGTGTCCCCGCGCCCCTCGCCTCCCTTCCAAGGGCTCATCCCGGGTCCCCCCACTGGACGCATCCCCGGCGCGCGTCGCCCGCAGACAGGTGTGCCAGGCCGCTTACCCCGGTGATCACCGCGGCGTCCCCGGCGGGGGGCGTGAGCAGCAGCAGCAGCAGGAGCGGGACGCAGCGCGGGCTCCTCATGGTGCCCTGGGGACCGGGCGGCGGTGGAGGGCGGTTGCGGGCGCGGGCGCGGGCCCCGGGCCGTGCTCGGTGGAGCGCGGAGCAGCGGGGCGGACAGTCGGGCGAGCGCGGCGGCTCCCGCGCGGTCGCGGCCGTTATAAAGGCGAGCCCCGCCGTGACTCACGCCCGGCAGCACGCGCAGGGGGCACTGCGCCGCGCCCCCGCGCCCCACGCGCACACGCGCCCTCGGCGGCCGCCGGCGCCCGGACGAGCACGTGTCGCGCCCCCGCCCCCGGGCGCCGCGCAGGCACTGCCCCCCGCGGGGCGCCCCGCTCCCCGCTGCCTTTCGCACGCGCCTGCGTCGCTTTTGTGGTCTCCTTCGCTGTCCTGGTTTCTCAAGCCCCACGTGCCCGGCGCCGAAAACTGGCGGGTCATTTGCTCCACAGATGTGTGGGGAGCGCCTGCTCCGTGCTGGGCGCGGTGAGCCGGTGGGGGCCAGGGCGCGGGGGCCGCAGTAGTCCCCCTAGTTTGTTCCTTTGCTCAGGAAGCCTACCCCGAACCCCCCGGCACTGCCGCGGTGCGTGTGTCCCCAGGGCCGAGTAACAGAGAAGGCAGACCTCAAACCAGTAAAACGGGCGAGTGGAAGACGGGGGAGAACAAAGGGAGGGCACTCTCAACCCTAATCCTATGGTCCCCACGACGTGCAGGGAGTCGCCCTTCCAGCTGCGGGAGTCCTATTCACGACCCTGTCTTGCACTGCAACGTCTGTTCCTGGCCCTAGACGCGGGGAGTTCCTCCCTCCCCAGCCTCAAGAGGGGCGGCTCGGGATGACGCCCAAGGTTAATGAGAGCACCTGGCCTCGGGTGCCCCCCGCCCGAGGTCCCTTAAACCTGGGAGTAGTAGGCAGCGTTCCCGTCCTCGACTCCGCAGGCCAGGAGTATCGCCCTTCGGCGATGCTACAGCTCCACTCCACTCCTGTCAAACAAGGGCTCTAGGCCGCCCCGGCAAAGGACAGGCGACGACTTTGTCCTCCCTCTGGGATCCCAGCCCAGCTCCGGGAACCTCGGTCTGTTTTCCGGAACCCAGCGAGACCGAGGTGTGACCGCGCCAAATTCGCGTGAGCGAAGGTTTCGGGAAGCTCGACTTGCCCAGCCTCGGCCCCAGAACACCACAAACTGTACAGAAGCAGATGCGCCTTCCAGGGTCTTTAACGAGCGCCGTAAGGAGAGTTGGGGCAGAGTTCCTTCCAGAGCGTGGGGCTCGCCCAGGCCAAAGCAGTTAGAAGAAATGTGGAAGCAGGAGAGCAGGCAATTATCCCGATGTTAACCAGCTGAATGTGCAGCAGCCCAAATCTTTGAGTTTTGAAATCTTTCCTTTTTTTTTTTCCTTAAACACGTGTTTTCAGGTTTGAGAGATGTCCTAAAAGAGAAAGCACAAAAGGAATCAAACTCTTTTTTAACTTTGAAGAAACTGTTAAAATGGGATTCGCAGGAGAATAAGTGGAAACAGTAGCAAGTGACAGACGCATGGAAAGTCTCCTTTCCCAGTTGCCATGCCAACGCCAGCATGGGCGTGCTGCCGGTAAATGTAAAATCCAGTCCACGCGGATTTGAACATTCCTACAACTTTTTTTTTTAAATAGTCTATTTCATATTTGCTGGTCTTGAATGCCAGCTTGGGTATTCCTAGCGTCTCCAAGCATGGAAAACAGGATATGTCTCCGTAGGAAAAAAAAAAAATTAGGTTTCAGAAGTGGCTGGCTTCTTACAGGGCTCTTTGGAAAACAAGTCGCCTAAGGTTGTTTTGAAACAAGGTTGGAAATACTTAAAAATAGGGTGGCTTTGGTTTCATGCTGTTTCTTTTGGACTTTCAATGTTTTAAAGGAAAAGTGAAGGTTCTCGGCAGGGCGTTTGTGTGTCGGTGGCCAAGTTAGGAAATTGAGTGACTTCAATCCTTATAAAAGGAAAGATGAGAGAATGAGTTTGGATTAGTCCAGAGAAATCAGCTAGGCGGGGAGGCCGAGCTACCCGCAAGGAAACAGAAATGGAAGAGTCATCTACTCGATTCTGATCTATTACAGCAACTGGTTGACCACACCGCACGATCCAGGCAGCCCAAGGATGAGGGGAGCTGAACCCAAATCCTGTCACCAGGTAGCCTCATACCCTGGGAGACCCTCAAGGCTCACCTGGATTGAAGGTGAAATGCAGATGGGTCCTTAGAACCCCACGTTAGTGAGTCAGATGGGCCTGGAGTGGAAATCCTGTGTGATCACTGGGGAAGTCACTTCGCCTTTCCGTTCCTGTTTCTTCTGTGAAATGGCTATAACATACCAAGGTGAGCAGAGAGAATTCAGACCTGCAAAGCACTGAGCCCAGTGCCTGGAACAGACTGGAGCCTTGTTAAGGTGACCTGTGTACTGAACCTCATCATTTGCTCTCCCTTCACCAATTCCAACCAACACCGATATCGGTCTTTTCTGTCTTGCCCACCCGAGTAGCTTATCTCCTTCTTCTGTTTAGGATGCTTGTGTCTGTCTTCCCTGCACAGCCCTCTTGGCACACAGCACAATGATCAGCATATTGCAGGTACTCAGTCCAGAACTAATGACCAGCAGCAGTGTTTACTGTGGAGGACACACCAGAAGCAGGTTGCAAGCCTCCATATACAGTGTAGACACACTTAATTTATATGGATCAATTACATGCAGCTGGCAAACAGAGGGGGATGGACTTTACCCGGTGCAGGGGGATCCCGCCTGCCATAGCACTCAGAGGACGTGTGACTGAGATGAGGTGAGCTGCGAGACACAAGCCTGCCTTGTGGAAGTCACTCAGGATCCCATGTTGATGCAGGCTCCACTTCAACTTGAGCTTCATGACGGCCAGTGCCGGGTGGGAAGGTGCCCTTGGATGGAACTAGAGTCTTTGCACAAGTGGTCAATTCAAGAGGAGGTTGTACTGGATGAGGGTGGGGCCTAAATACAATGACTGGTGTCTTCATAAGAGAGGGGAGGGGGGATCAGATACGAAGACACCTGGGGGGACACACGCAGAGAACATGTGAGCCTGGAGGCAGGGATTGAATGGATTCACCTGTCAGTCGTGGAACACAAGGATTGCTGGCAACCATCAGAACCTGGAAGAGGCAGGAAAGGATTCTTCCCGACGGTCTTCACACCTGCATTTTGGACCTGTTCTCCCCAGAACCATGAGAGAAGAAACTCCTGCTGTTTTGGGGCTGGCGCTGTGGCACAGTGGGTTAAAGCCCTGGCCTGAAGTGCCGGCATCCCATATGGGGGCCGGTTCTGGTCCCAGCTGCTCCTCTTCTGATCCAGCTCTCTGCTGTGGCCTGGGATAGCAGTGGCAGATAACCCAAGTCTTGGACTCCTGCACCCATTGGCACAGCCCTGGCCGTTGTGGCCATCTAGGGAGTGAACCAGCAGATGGAAGACCTCTCTCTCTGTCTCTGCCTCTCTCTATAACTCTTTCAAATAAACAAAATACATCTTAAAAAAAAAAAAAGGAAAAAACCTCCTGCTGTTTCAAGCCACCCAGCTGTGGTCATTTCCTATGGCAGCCGCTGGAAGCTACTACAGGTGGGGAGAGCTAGAGAGCTGTATGCTGCTGGGTACTGTCTGTGCCTGGAGTTGATGCCTAGCTCTGTTGCTCATGCGTTAGTGACCCACACAAGTCACACGGTGATGTGTCTTCAAAGAGAGAGACGACGCAAGAACCAGCTCACCCCGGCTTCTGAAGAGAACCAGAAATCTGGTGAGCAACACAATAGCCTACAGGAAAGGGGACATTCATGGCTTGGGCTCCTTAATGCGCATAATGAATTCTGATGATATTGGTAATTATTCCTGTAAATGATGATGTTGTATTATTTCCTCGTATTTTTTTTTCTAGTTCAGTACTCCTTGTATAGACTGGAATTATATAAAAGCTCAGAAAGTAAATTAGAAGCTGCTCTTTTCTGTTAGATGAGTGCTAACCCATCACAGATTCATACATCTGTTCAGCAGGCACTGACAGCATCTACCCCATGCCAGATTCTATGTGAAGCACTGGAGGTACAGTGATGGGCCAGACAGATAGGAACCGAGCACTGGGGGAGTTTATGGTCCACAAATCAAATAATTGTGCAACTCTACAGTTCAAGGAGACAAATTGAGAGTTCTCTGGGAGAGCGAATGAGGAAATCTTGTTATTCCTGGCAGAAGAAATCACCTGTGCTGGAGGCTGGAAACAGCCCATGTGACCCCAGAAATGTGAGACCAGGGAGGTGGCAGGGGCCCACTGCGGGGCCTTAAACAAGGCATGCCAATGATTTTGGTCTTTATCATGGTTGGGGAAGAGGAAGAATGGGGCAAGCATGCCACGAGTTGCTTTTACCAAGGAGACCCTCCCCGCAGCGTGTCTGATCACATCCAGATCCACACCTCTTCTGCTGAAACCCCTCCGTCCTGCCAGGGATGACCTTGGAGTCAGCCTTGACCCAGCTCTGTCTCCCACACCGGAGGTCCATCTGTCTGGAAAGCTTGTTCACTTTGCCCTCCAAATATATCTAGAGATATATTTTAATGTTTGCTAAAATATGTTAATATGAGGGTACTCCACAAAGTTCATGGGAAAATGGAATGGAAAGATGAGCTTCTTCAGGTACAAAAATTTTTTGAAGCCCTCACCTAGTTTTTAAAATGGAGTGTGGCGCCGGCGCCGCGGCTCACTAGGCTAATCCTCTGCTTTGTGGCGCCGGCACACTGGGTTCTAGTCCCGGTCGGGGCGCCGGATTCTGTCCCGGTTGCCCCTCTTCCAGGCCAGCTCTCTGCTGTGGCCAGGGAAGTGCAGTGGAGAATGGCCCAAGTGCTTGGGCCCTGCACCCCATGGGAGACCAGGATAAGTACCTGGCTCCTGCCATCAGATCAGCGCGGTGCGCCGGCTGTAGCGCGCTGGCCGCGGCGGCCTTTGGAGGGTGAACCAACGGCAAAGAAAGACCTTTCTCTCTGTCTCTCTCTCTCTCTCTCTTTCACTGTCCACTCTGCCTGTCCAAAAAAAAAAAAAAAAAAATGGAGTGTGTTGTAATCAAGCATCTCTGATCACTTCGGCCTCTGTCATGACCTCCTGTCTTGTCCTGAGCCCCTGTCAC